CACAAGATGAGGATCACACAAGCCACTATCAGTTTACTAGAGTACCTTTTGGCTCTCAGCTGGGGAAAGGTCAAGAACCCCTCACAATCACCACGATCGAAGCCGGAAACAATTCCCAACCTCCGCTCGACGATCCTCGCTGCTCCAAGCTGTCTAGGTGGTGGCAACCACCAAGAGTAACAAGCCAAAATCGCAGCGAAACACGAATACCAAGTGCATCTAGATGCAAACACTCAAACAATGCACTTGGATTCTCTCCCAATCTCACAAAGATGATGAATCAAAGATGGAGATGAGTGGGAGGGCTTTGACTAAGCTCACAAGGTTGCTATGTCAATGCAAAATGGCCAAGAGAGTGAGCTAGAGCCGGCCAAACGATATTTATAGACACCCCAAACAATAGAGCCGTTGGCTCAATTATTGGGCTGACTGTGGGACGACCGGACGTCGCTGCGTCCGGTCGCAGCCTGACCGTCACGTGTCCATTTCAAATTGTTTAGCCATTTGCGTCCAATGGCTATCTCTGCGCACAGTAATACTACATGATCGGACGCGCTGTTAGAAAACGACCGGACCCGGGAGACGCAACGTCAGGTCGAGTCCATAGAGCTCCCAGAGCCGCTCTTGGCCGACCGGACGCGTCCAATCACACCGGACCGAACGCTCCCAGCGTCCGATGAATTATTGCGCTGAAAAACCGAGACTTGCTGGTTAGACCGGACGTGTCCGGTGTGGCGACCGGACACGTCCGGTCGCTCTCTGCAATCCTGCATCGGGCTATATCACTTTGACCTGACGCTGAACAGTAACTCGTCAGCGTCCGGTCACTCCACTGAGCTAGAGTCCGGTCACTTTCACTTAGTTGCTCACCTCGGGTCCAAATATCGGACGCGTTCGGTCCTGATTCCGGACGTGTCCGGTCAGTTCTGTTTGACTACCCCAAGACTGGATAAAATACCGGACGCGTGTCCGGTCCCAATTTCAGACGTGTCCGGTCACTCCGTGACCGGCGCGACTAACTCCTTTTCAACTCTATCTTCTTTACTCTTACTCAAATGTGCCAACCACCAAGTATATCACCTTGTGCACACGTGTTAGCATATTTTCACAAATGTTTTCAAGGGTGTTAGCACTCCACTAGATCCTAAATGCATATGCAATGAGTTAGAGCATCTAGTGGCACTTTGATAATCGCATTTCGATACGAGTTTTACCCCTCTTAATAGTACGGCTATCGATCCTAAATGTGATCACACTCACTAAGTGTCTCGATTACCAAAACGAAAAAGCTCCTATCAAGTTTCACCTTTGCCTTGAGCTTTTTATTTTTCTCTTTCTTCTTTTCCAGGTCCAAGCATTTGATCATCACCATGCCATCACCATCATCATGATCTTCACCATTGCTTCATCACTTGAAGTAGTGCTACCTATCTCATAATCACTTTGATAAACTAGGTTAGCACTTAGGGTTTCAACAATTCACCAAAACCAAACTAGAGCTTTCAGATGGCCATCATGCTCGTCCTCCACCTCCTCCGTATGCCCACAGCCCACACGCCCTGCTCGCAGTGGCTGGGGCAAAGGTCGCCTACGCAGTGGCGATCGAGACTCGAGCTCGACCGCTCGAGCACCCATGAGGACCATGGTTCGCCGAGGTCACCCGCACGACAATGGCCTAATAAACCTGAGTGTTAACAAAAGTAGTAGAGATAGAAGAACATGGGATTTGGGTAGAATCTCAAAGGAAGGATTAGAGTTATAGATTTGTTATTCTCTGTATTGCAGCTTGCCCTCTTTCTCATGGCTTCTCTCCTTTTTACATCTGGATGCAACCAGTCCCTTGCTCACAGCAGCGTAGTTGCCCTGTTGTTATCTGGCTAACCCAATCTAGGCTGACGGTGCAGGTTTTGGCCTTCTTGGTGCACATGCTCCTCCAAGACCCTTGGAGTACTTATGTCGGCTTGGAAATAGTAGTGGAAGCAAAGTATATAACACCGAGCTCTCCTGCGCGAGCACCCACTAGCACCACAGTGGCCGAGGTCCATGCTCGCCCACTGACGTGGCAGGTGGCTGGTGCTAGAGCTCCAGCCTGCACACACACGTTGACGGTGGCCGCGCAGGGACCTCTTTTGAGGCCTACTGCATTGATCCAAAGAGAGGGATGGGCTAGCGAGGAGACTGCCATGTGATGGGTCCCGCTCACATGAACTACTATGCTAGCGGCTCTCGCCACATTTAGTGACAATTCCATCTCTCTTCTCATTTCTCTCTCCAACGTGGAGGTGATGTAGAGAGCTAATCCACACCGTTACGTTGCGGGTGCCCTAATAGAGAGGGACATTGGAGGGAGAAAAAGATAGTGTGGGGAGTGGTGGTGGGCATGTGTATAGTGGGTGTGGTGGGGTAGGTGGGCAAGGGAGGTTACAAGGTGAAAAGGAAGTTAGCATGACCTTTGGTTAAAGGGGTGGGCAATATTATCTATGGTTACAAATCCTAATCTTGGGTAAAAACACTTTTCATGATTGAGTATACTAGATATATCATAATTTTATAGAAGAAACAAACCACTAACTCCCATTACTAAGGTAAAGGACTTAATGTATTATAGATGGTAAAATGGTTATATTCAATATTTTGTCTAAAATTTTACCAACAATATAGGCTGAATAAATTTCATGCAGCAACCACAAATGTAAGACAAAGAACAAGTGGTTTAGGTTTTCATAAGTTCTAGTCTCTCCATTCCAGTTATAAGTCATTCTAACTTTTCTAGATATGTAGCTTTTATTATAAATTTAGACATAGCCTATATCTAGGTGCATAGCAAAAGAAATGTACCTAGAAAAGCTAAAATGACTTATAATTTGAAGCAGAGAGAGTACAATATAATCTCTTTGAGATGGAGTAAAAAATAAATTTATGTGGTGATTTATTTTTGTTATCTTGCACTCCATTCCTTCCAAAATATAAGAGGTTTTAGTGTGGTCCTAAATCAAACTTCTCTAGTTTTGATCAATTTGTAGAAAATTAAAACAACTAAAATACCAAATAAATGCATGATCAAGATCTATTTCACGGAGGATTTAATGAAACTAAATGTTGTTACATATGTTTAATTATCTTTTTTTATAAACTTGGTCAAAGTTAGGGAAGTTTGACCTCGCAGAAAACTAAAATCTCTTACATTTTAAAACAGAGGGAGAAATTGGTTGCGTGCTAGCTACTATATAAACCAGACAACTCGGTTGAAAGAGAAAACATATTGAAGCCTTATTTGGATCCACTAGCGGCAATATTAGTTAGCTAACTATCAACGGTAGCTGAAGTTCTGCAATCTGCTCCTCTAAATGTGTCTTTCAGAAAGGCTTTGGTCAGTTTGGTGGGGACAAAACTAACAGAATGGCATAGCCTAGTTGCTAGTATTATGCATGTCACGCTCAACAATATGCCGGATAGGTTTGTTTGGGGTTTACATAAAAATAGGTCCTTTTCGGTGAATTGTATGTATAAGTTCCTTGTCAGCAATGGTAGGAAAGTCACACAGGAGATATGGCCAATAAAAATACCCTTAAAAACAAAATCTTCATGTGGTTCTTAAAAATGGGTTATTTTAACAAAAGTTAATCTAGCAAGAAGGAATTGGAATGGTAATAAAGTTTGTTGTTTTTATAATAAATTTGAAATCATGCAACATTTTTTCTTTAATTGTCATTATGCTCGTTTTCTCTGGCGTGCGGTTCATTGGGAGTTTGGTTTTGCCCCTCCAACAAGCGTATCTCACTTGTTTGGGGGATGGTCAAAATTGGGACACCACAAACATAATTTGCTTGTTTTAACGGGAGCATCAACCCTGTGTTGGGCAATCTGGCTCATAAGGAATGATTTCATTTTTAACAAAAGCCAAAAACAAACTTTTCGCAGGTACTTTTCTAGGGGACATATTGGCTCGGATTCTAGAATGAATTACAACACTTGGATGAGCATAGACTTCCATTGTGGAGGCATGCATGCTTCTAGAGTCTGGTGCCATGTTTCTGTTTGCTTCACACGAGTGGAGCTTCTTTTATCGTCTTGGACATTAGGAGTGATTCTGTGATTTTTATTTTTGGTGTGAGTTTGTAATAAGTCTAATTCTTTCTTCTAGAGGAACAATGAAGCCAGAACTTTTGTTTCCATTATCTTGAAAAAGAGTTGGCTAACTATTAGATTAGTGTTATTTGGATCCACTAGCTAAAGGTGGACACATCGATGATTTTGTCTATAATGGTATTCTTTTTCTATTTGCTATTGGTAATGCACATGCTTACAGGTAGGTGGGAGGGGAAAAATGTCTTTTTGCAATCTACTTCCTCTGTTTCAAATTATAAGTCACTTTAACTTTTTTTAGTATATCCACTTTGCTACGTATCTAGATATAACGTATGTCTAGATACATAGCAAAATGAACGTATCAAAAAAATCAAAGCGACTTATAATTTAGAAACGTGAAGAGTATTAACTAGCCCAACAGCCTTTCTTAAATACACTCGTTTAGAGAGCCGTTCTAATAAAAGTCGTTCTATATATCTCTCCACCCTCAACAATTTTTCTCTATATATTTTTCGGCACTTTGGTTATCTAAAAGGTTAAGAATAATATATCGATAAAAACATTGTCTGATGGTGTTTTGGCTATATTAATCGTGGGTCAAATTATGCATACCGTTAAATATTTACCATGCAACCACTCTGTTATGATTTGAGGTGGTTTGGAATCTTCTCTCGAAAGAATTGAACATAGTTTCTTTATATATACTGGGAAATACCTCATTCTCTTCAGAAGTCACGACTTGACGAAATCTGTTCACTGCGCTGCTAAATCTTTCTACGGCTTCATTCTCCATTTCGCAAGTTGCCTGCGCCATCTTTACTCACAAGGTTCGGTCTTCGGAATTTCCAGGCTTGAGACTTCAACAACAATTTCGTTCCTATACGTTTCATATTCACCTTTTTCATGTGCAGATGTTCGGTTCTGTTGTCGTCGAGGAGACAGTGAAGCAGATCTTGTCAGCTCTGTCTGACAATGATCATGAAGGGAGATCGGATGACGAAACGGAACATGTGGAGAGGCTGGAGATGGCACAAATCAGGCTGGAGGCTGTACTCGAGGTATCCGTGCGGTGGCAGATCAAGGATCCGTCACTGCTGCGTTGGCGCAGGAAGCTGAAGCGCGCAGCGCAAGAGTGCGACGAGGCGCTCCACAGGTGCAAGCAGCGGATCGTGGAAGACAAGGAGAAGCAGCGAGCGGCAAGGAGCTCCTCCTTCCCGCAGCGGCTGGCTCACGCCACCAAGGCGTGCCTGTCCTCCGTCATCGCCGGCCACCGCGACGAATCGAGCTCGAGCACCAGAGACGACGCTCGAAGGTTCGAGTGGTTCGCGGACGGCGCGAGCGACTTCCTGCGGTTCGTGGAGCTCGGTGGCACGCCGCGCCGGTACATGTTCTTCGACCCTCTCATCGGGCAACTCCTCGCCGGCAAGGAGCTCCGGTACAGGCTTGTCCGGGGAAGCCAGCACCATGTCCTGTGCATGCGCCCCGTGAGCTTCGAAGGCCGCGGGCTGGAGGCCAAGTTCCTCTACGTCTACGAAGAAGACGACGCGCCGGAGAACAACTTCTGCCTAGGTCTGATGCTCCGCCTTTCCGAAAGCATGGACGTCGTCGGTATCGCCATCAGGTGCCTGCAGCAGCTGCTGGTCACGCCTCACTTCAAGTCCACAGCCGAGGCCGCGATGCGAGAGATCGCTCAGCTGCCTACACAGGACTTCTCCTGGGTGCCTTACGTTGAGTCTGGTCACAAAGAGCACTGGAACTGCATCCACGGAATCTTGTCCCAGGTGTCGCGCCCAAACCCAAACTGCTGCAAGCATCACCACCATGAGCCCAAGCCTTGCAGCAGCAGCAACATGCACGCAGCCAAGCTACCATTACCACACGTGTCACTGGAACCAGTTATCGAAATGTATTTCGTGCGCATCATCCCTGCAGTGTCGTCACGGCAGAGCGCTCGAAGGAGAAAACTTGTGCAGGGTGAAGCAAGAAGCCCCAAGGAATTGTTCCCACATCTGAAGCTTGCTATCCACTACTCGCCTCATGGTGTTCCAGAAGACATGGCGTCGCTTTCAGTTGGGAGTTCGACAGTTGAGTTCATGGATGGAAAGCAGCAGCATCTGATGCATAAGGACATGAGCCTAGAGCAACTCGACGAGATCATGCTGCCGAAGGCGATAGATTGCCTTAACCGGAAGCCCGAAGCATCGTTGTATCAGCTGTCCTGGAAGTCTAAGCATGAGATGGCGTACCTTCGGCTTGAGAAGACAGGGATGGTAAAGATGACACGGGACGACATTGGAGACGATCCTAGCAGGGACAGAAGGGCAATGATCCAGCGCCGGCAAGATCCAAAGCTGGAGGCATGGTTAGAGGTGTTCACAGACTTCCTGAAGCCGTGGGTTGCACTCGCACCTCAAAGGCTACAGGGCCCAGTGTTGGAATGGATTAAAAAGGCAGATGAAATGTAATCAGACACACAAAACCTGCTGTTATATTTGTCCACAAGGGCAACATAAGTCAACGAATCAGTGGTGCTTCTGTAAAAACCGTTCTACAATTGTAAGTTTGTTCATGTGCCCGTACTGTGCCGCGTCAGGTGTATGTATGTCCACCATCATATATATTGTACCCTCTCTGGTACAAAATTTGTGTAAAGAATGTAAGGATTATGTGCCCGTTACATGATCATATCTTAACTTTTGGTGATTCGATTACAACACAAGTTTAGAACTAATATGCGTGTTAAAGAAGTTTTTTTTAGAAAGGACGGTAAATGCTTTACCGCGATTTCTACTAGACGAAGAAAGAAAAAATGCAAGCGCCAGCCTAGTTTTTTTTTATTGGAAACTGGGCTAGAAAAATCATACAGGCTGAGGAGAGTGCCCCACTCATCCTGCACAACTTTAGTACAACTATCACAACTCACGTGACGACTTGCAACTTGATCGAACCGACCCAACTAACAACAACTACCCAACTATCAACAACTTGGCCAAAGAAATGACCCAGTTAAGACACCTCCACTTGAAAAGACAATATGGAGAACCGAGCACCATCACCCTTGAACACCGAGCACCATCACCCTTGGAGCACCGAGCACCAGCACCATTACCATTGGGAAGCGCCATGACGGATGACCAGAGGCCCATAGCGGAAACTGGATCGCTCAGCAAAGCCTTCAAGAAGGAAACGATACCAAGAGCGTCGACAAGCTAGCCCACAGAGAAAATGTTTTCACCTGCAAAATCCAGTACGGTAGGAGGAGAGGTAGAAAAGAGCGCCTCCAAGGAGGGCACGACGTCCACATACGTCGTCGCCCAAGCTTTCACCCCGACCTCATGCAACCTCCACACCTTCGCCGCCGAAGACCCTCAGGGATAGCCTGACCCGAGGAAACCAGCCCAAGCAAGGAGAAGGCAGGTGGCGGGGAGAAGAGGGCCAGGATCAGAAAGAAACCCTAGTCGCCCAGCCCACCACCGTCCCGACCCCTGCCGAGCAGTCCCAGCATCAACCCACACCGCGTACAGCAACCCCCGCGCCGAGCTACCGCACTGGCTCCCCGCTCCTTCGTGGATCTAAGCCAGTCCACTGCAAAGGCACCGGATCCGGGTGAAAGGACGCCGGATCCAGCATAGGGAGCGCCGGCCCGACCAAGGATGTGCCGGTGTAGGCGTGCACCACTAGAACCACATCGAACCCACCACCGGCGCCGCCATCTCCAACTGCGGCAACAACACCCCAAAACGGCGCCATAACCGGTCCTCGCGCGCTGCAGCTGACCGGGACAACACGCTCCACACAGATCCGGCCATGGAGTTCTGATCCGGCCATGGAGATGTAGATCCAGCCTCGGAGCTTCTGGTTGGTCTCATCGTCGTTGCAGATGTCGCCGGACTGGATGTCTGCGAGAGGAAGATAGTGAAAGAGGCCCCGCCGCAGCTGTCCTCGCGGACACACGATTTTCGGCAGTCCGCTCTGGCGACGGCGAGGTGGGGTAGGGTCGAACGGAGGTAGCTGAGGTTTGCTCGCTAGGAGCCGCCCATGGCGTCGCGAGGGGGGGCGCGGGGCGAGAGTGTTTTGTCTGGTGTTCGAACGGCTAAGTTGGGATGCATTGTTAAAGAAGTTTTAATAGGTCCTAGTAATGCAAGAGAAGAAATGGCACGTATACCAGTGACGAAACATCAAATAGACAAGTGTGCAAAAGATGTACACGCTAGCTGATCTGGCGGGCTGCGTAATGCACTGGACTATCAGGCGCATCGTCCCGTGACATTGTAGATGACACCTGTGTAGTGACACACACCGGACGGTCCGTCGAGATGGAAACAGGAACGCCAAGCGATCGATAAACACATCAGATGAACTGTCGAAGAAATTCCTACGGAGGATATTCCCCATCAAAGCATGTGCCGAATGATCCTGGCAGCTTGGTCACTATGCTCAGCCATGCACCAGATGATCCGGCATGTAAGGGAAGCTGCAGCGAATCATCGTACGAAAGGCTAGCCATTGTGTGAGTCAGTGAGTGAACACATCGAAAAGTCCAGCAAGGAGAAAAAGACAGACATTGAACCATGGGGGCATATTCTACAACGGCTACTCAAAAGAAAAAAAAAAGTAACTAAGGGGGTGTTCGGTTCCTCTCCTAAACTTTAGTCGCTGTCCCATCAGATGTTTGGACATATGCATAGAGTATTAAATATAGACTAATTACGAAACTAATTGCATATTTTGCGACTAATTTACGAGACGAATCTTTTAAGCCTAATTAGGCCATTATTTGACAATGTGGTGCTACAGTAAACATATACTAATGATGGATTAATTAGGCTTAATAAATTCGTCTCGTGGATTACTGACGGATTCTGTAATTTGTTTTTTATTAGTATCCGAACACCCCATGCGACATCCTCTTGTTACACCTCTTAAATTTTAGTCACCGGATCCAAACACCCCCTAATACTCACCATATGATCCGGTGGGGCATATTTGTAGGCGGTGGATCATCTCGGGTATGTTTGGATTGAACCCAGGGTCTTGTTTAGTTAGCGAAATTTTTTGGAAAATAGTATTGTAGCACTTTCGTTGTTATTTGACAATTAGTGTCCAATCATAATTTAATTAGGCTTAAAAGATTCGTCTCGTGAATTTCGTCTAAACTGGATAATTAGTTTTATTTTTTATTTATATTTAATGCTTCATGTATGCGTCTAAAGATTCGATATGACAAAGAATTTTAAAAAATTTTATAAAATTTTAGGAACTAAACAGGCACCTGGATGCCTGGGAAAAGGAAGGCCCGAAGAACTGTCTGTGAAGCTGCAGTTTTCTTCCTGGCCAAGCATATGAAGTGTACCGTTGTTTGGTTGGTGACTGGGTTTAAAAAGGTACGGAAAGTAAAGCTCCAAACATAAATGTACGCCTGACACATAATATGTTTTGCGTCTTGTGGTTAGTTGCAGCCACACAGGTAATTACAAAGAGAATCTTTCCGGGCAACATCATTCTACATCCAGGCAATCGTGTTTTAACGCTTGTACCTGGCAGCAGTTGCTTGGGCTAGGAGACAAACCAGGGTTGCAACCAAACGCATCACAGGCAAGTCTCAGGTCCATTCCAGGCACAGGCAATTTCTTCCAGGGCTTGAACCAGACAAGCCCCTCATGCATGTAATTTACAATGGTGGCAGACTTTGACTAACGGCTAAGCTAGTTGGGGTGGATGGAGCTATATATATGGTCTATTTGGGACAGCTCCAGTGCTCCAGATTCAACAAAAAGAGCTCTCGATTTGATTTTTTTAGCCAAACACCTCTGCTCCACCAACGCTAAATCTTCCAAAACTCCACATCCGAGGAGCAAATCCATGGATTTCCTGGAGCACCTCAAGTGGTGCTCTGAAAACTCATAGATATGTGGAGTTAGTAAAAATTAGGCAAAATTGGCTCCCGGACACCGTTCAACCGTGCCTTTTGCCACAGACCACCGAAAAAAGGGAACTTCGTCGAAACACACTCTTCAATCATATCACTACGCTGTTGCACACCACACATCTTATTTTATTCAATTAAATTGGAAAGACAACCGAATGACGATTTTGCCCCTTATCTCTTTAGGTGGACTCACGCATGCACAGAAGCATTCATCCGTTCTTCCCATTCGCTTCTCTCCTATCCAAACTGTTCTCTCTCTCTCTCTCTCTCTCTCTCTCTCTCTCTCTCTCTCTCAACTTCCAGGCGGCGGCGCAATCACAAGGAAACAAAGGCCCCTCCCCGTGCAGCCCGCGCCCGGAGCCCACCCACAGTGCGCGGCTCCGCCTGCGCACGGCGACGCCCGGGGCAAGGCCCCCTCGGCGCGTGGCACGATGGCTAGGGAGTAGCTTGTGCTGGTCCCAAGCACTCCCTCCAGCGGCGCACCGTGTCTCAGCGATTGATGGAAGATGGAGGCCCCACGATTCCTCAACGAGATTTTCCCCCAAGATTAGGCGGATCTTTCATGGGTTCCTGAGGGGTAAGTTTTCTCCCAATTTCTCTAGGGTTAGTGCTAGCATGGGCTCATATTTGCAAAGTAAAGCGTAATATGTTTTGATTCCGCTTCGATTTGTGCCAATGTCTGTGTAGGATGGATCCCAATTCGTTCTACAGGCTTGCTGTGCGTGTGGGTGCTTATGTGAAATTTACTAATGATGGTGGTCATGAGTACTGTCAAGCATGTAACATTCCTAGGATTTTAGACCGAGATATGACAAATTGGAATGACTTGCTAATTGACATTGGTACAGAAATTAATCTAAGCTCTAAACACAAGTTGCATGTCACCTATTGGGATAATATGAGTCGCACTTATGAAGAGATCACTTCTGACCAAAAATTGCTTCATGCAATTGATATGTATTGGGAGATAAGAAGGCTCTCAGTACAAGTGTGTGTTACGAAGAATGATGATTCAAATTGCTTGCATGATATTGGACGGCTGCAGAGCATGCCTTGTGTGCTGCAGGGAAGCACCGATGCCCCAGCCAACCAAATTATTGCACAACCTCCACTTGACATTGCATCATCACTTGTAGAGCCTTCAGTTCAGAACAATGCTAGAGTGGCATGGGTGGATGATGATATAGAGTATGTTGGGCTGGATGATGAGGATTTAGTATCTGATTCATCTGATTGTGAAGTGTACGGTGATGTAGATTGTGTTGGTTTAGAGGATGAATTAGTTGTGGAGGATGCACAGGGTTGTGAGACAATTATCCATGCAACTGACCTAGAGAACCCAACAATAAAAGTCGGTGTAACTTTCGCGGATAGTACTACTTTTAAGAAGGCTATTAGGCAATATGCAATAAAAGGCGAATATGAAATTGCAGCTCCCTATTCTGAGGCAAAAAGATATAGAGGCCATTGCAAAGCTGATGGGTGCAAGTGGCGGATACATGCTTCACAATTGCAGGATGGAAGGACTTGGCAGGTACTGATTTTTGTGCTAATTTTTATTCTGATTGTTTTTTTACATATACTTTTGGTTGATCTTTTGTCCTGATATTTTCCTTGATGTAGATAAAGAAGATTCCTGTTGATCACACTTGTCAAAGCACAGGAAAAGTTGAGAAGAACTGCATGGCGACAAATCATTGGGTCAGGGACAGGGTTCTTGATTGGCTTGCAAAGGATGCTACAATTGGGGCTAAAGCATTGCAGAAAAGGCTACAAGAACAGTATCATCTACAATTATCATATTGGGTGGTGTGGGATGGAAGAAATATGGCTTTGGAACAACTCAAAGGGAGGTGGGATGACAGCTTTGCACATGCTTTCAAATTCAAGGCTGAGGTAGAGAGGACCAATCCTGGCAGTTTGGTTGACATTGAATATGAGCAAGATAGGAAGAAGATGAAATTTACCAGAATGTTTGTTGCCTTCAAAGCTAGTGTGGATGGTTTTTTGAATGGTTGCAGGCCTTTTCTTGGTGTGGACTCCACCCATTTGACTGGGAAATGGAAGGGTCAACTTGCATCTGCGACTGCTATTGATGGAAACAATTGGATGTTTCCAGTGTGTTATGGTGTGTTTGGATCAGAGACAACTGAAAATTGGGCTTGGTTTTTTAGTAGACTTCATCAAGCTATTGGATCACCTCCAGGCCTAGTGATATCAACTGATGCAGGCAAAGGAATTGATTCTGTTGTTACTAAAGTCTTCAAAAGTGGGGTTGAGCATAGAGAGTGCATGAGGCACTTAGTTGCAAACTTCCAAAAGCGATTTCGAGGCGAGGTCTTTGAGAAGCACTTGTGGCCAGCATGTAGAGCTTTTCAAAGACATAGGTTTGAAGAGCACTACAATCTGATGTATGAAGCATGCCCTGAAGCTATGAAGTGGATACATGACAACCATAAGCATCTCTGGACAAGGCACTTGTTCTCTGAAGCAAGCAAATGTGACTATGTGACAAATAACATTGCTGAAACATTCAATAGCTGGGTTAGGCATGAAAAATCCCTCAATGTAATTGATCTTATGGATAGGGTAAGACAACTATGCATGGAAAAATGTTCTTGAGAAGAAAAATTGCTCGGAAGCTTGAAGAGAAGATATTGCCAAATGTTATGAAGGACCTCAATGCAAGGAGCAGGGGGCTGAAATATATGTGGAGGTATTCACACAAAGATGGTGGCAAAGATACTGATATGTTAGGTGAAGTCGAAGGTGTTACAAGGAATCTAGTTCATTGGAGGCACAGTGTTGATCTTGAGGAGAGGAAGTGCACCTGCAGGCGATGGCAAGTTACTGGTCTGCCATGTACACATGCTTTGTGTATTATCACATCAATTTGGGGTTGCAAGATTGAAGATTATGTTCATGAATACTACTCCGTGCCAAAGTTCAAGAAAGCCTATGAAAAGTCTATAAAGGCAATGACTGACAAAAAATAGTGGCCTCAAGTGAATCAAGGGTTCAAGCTATGGCCTCCAGTTCTAAAAAGGCCGGCTGGGAGGCCAAGGGTGAGAAGGTTAAAACCAACTGTAGAAGGAGGATCTGGAAAGAGAACCACAAGATGCAAAAGGTGCAAGCAGCTTGGACACATGGCGAAAACATGTAATGAATATGTTTATGATTCTGATGCACCACCTCCCGCCCCTCCGAAGCCAAAAAGAAAGAGAGGCAAGAAAAATGCCACAATAGTGCCATCTAGTATTTCTGAGCCACCACAGGAACAACCATCACATGCTGACCCATTGTAAGCTTTCAACTGCTTTATGAAATTTTTTGACCTAACTTACAAATGTTTCCACCCATAACTTACGTATTTAAACGACTTGCAGTGCTACACCAACTAGAGCCATCACTTTTGTTCCTACAACAAGCCCTGTGACAAGGAGGTACATTATGACAACTTTAAATCTTCCTTTTTTTTAAAAAAACTGCACATGTGAATGTTTCTTTCTATGCCAATTTTGCATGCTTCTACATCTTTGCAGTATGTCAAGGAGGTTGTTGGAATATGAAGCATCTACACCGACTAGAGCCATTGCCTCTATTTCGACACCAAGCCCTCTCACAAGAAGGTACTACAGCTTCAATTTGTATGCCTTAATGTTGGTCATCTCCGTTTATTTGACACAACTCTATATCCATTTACAGCCGTAAGAGGATGCTAGAACTTGAAGGCAATATAGAACATGTTCAATGTCTTGCTCTATCTCCAGATCCGGCCCATGAGAAGGGAAAGCCAAAGAAGTTGAAGGTTGTCAGATCCAAGAAAGCTTAGACCCTTTAGTACCATGTTCTTCTAATGTTGCTGTTCAAACCATGATCTTGTGATGTATGGATCTAGTACTGTACTAGATAGCCTAATGTGGTCAGAACATGTTGTTTTGCTGGACCTGCTACTTTAGTTTGAACCTGCTGTTCTACTATGGTGAAATATTGATGAAAATCAATCTGTTATGATGCTGAAATGTTTCTTGTCATGCTCATGTATTGTTGCTATAATGTTGATCTGAAGGGGTAAGGGTATTCTTGTCTAGAAATCATGTTTGGATACCTGTTTGATTGAGAAACATTATTATAAGAGCTATAGTGTCTAGCATCATATTGCCATGGTTGAAGAGTGTGTTATAGCACAGCCACACTTTTTTAATGGCTTGTAGCAACAGCCACGGTTGAAGGATGTCCATGAGCTAATTTTCCTTACAAATTATCCACCATGCCACCGACTAGCGAAAAATAACGGTTTGTTCTCTTTCGTTCTCCCCTTTCTTCCTCGTCGTGACTCCTACGCATCCTCTCGCCCAGCCACGCAGCCACGGCAACTGAGCTCGCCTCCGTGCGCGCTGGCCTCGACCGCGCCCGCAGCGCACAAGCCGCTGAGCTTGCTTGGCTGCGCACGCCCTTCCCCTGCATCTCATGTTGCTGCCGCGCCGCCCTTGGCGGTCCACCGCACGGCCCCTAGCCAGCCGTGAGGGCTACCACACGGCTCCCCCCCCCCCTGCCCGCGCGCGCCCCGGAGGGCCCATGGTCGCATCTGTCGCTGCGAGTCCTGATGCTCTGGTTCTACAACTACGAAGAGAAGACGAAGTCTGATGTGTGGTCTCAAGGCGTCTGTGAGACAAAGGAGGAGGAGGAGCTCCCATAGATGGGCTGCTGTTGGGCTGAAATTGGCTGGCAGTTAGGCCGGCCCACCAGATCCACCATGGTGCTCGCCCAAACACATTTCTTAGCAGCTGTAGGATATCAGATGCAAGTTGGAGCTGCTAGCTCCATGATGGATCTGAGATCTTGGTTCCATTTTTCAGAGTTGGAGCTCTACCAAATAGGGCCATAATTATATACGAGTCCCATTGCCCGCCTAATGTTGTTGGAGTATCTTGAGACTGTTAAAAGCTAGTGCAAGTTTCTCTACAGTCTACACTCCATCCATCCTCTAAAGAGCATCAAGGTCATATTTAAGGATGAAACTGGATCAAATATGAATGCTAAATATGAGTAGTCATAATTTTTTTTGGGGATTCCGAGTCTAATACGGACTCATAATTTTTTTTTATTCAGATTCGAATACGGATAATATCAAATGCGTCCGATATTGATATCTCTGCCACTATCCTCATAATTACAAACCGGCCTTTGTTTTTTAGCAACATTGCAAACCGGCTTATAAACCCGCCGGATCACTCACTCCACTTACACGGCCCACGACGACGTTAACCTACGTCACTGGTGTAACATGTGCCTGCATTGCTTTCACAGGGACTGGACAGGGCTTTGTATTCTAACAATTAGGCCCTTGTTTAGTTTCTCCGAACTTCTAAAAAGTGCATTATACAAAAAGAAGATTTCTCGTCATATCAAACTTATGGTACATGCATGGAGTACTAAATATAGACGAAATCAAAAACTAATTGCACAGTTTGCTTTAACTTTACGAGACGAATTTTTGAGCCTAATTAGTCAATGTTTGGACAATAATTTATAAATACAAACGAAATACTACAGTAGAGAATCTTCACTATGCAAAATTTACCTGCGCAAACTTTGCTCAACTAAACACCCCTGGGATGTTTTGGTATACCTAACCTACGTCACTGGTGTCTCACGTGTTGTGAGGGTTGTGCCAATTTGGATCCAAGAGAGTGACCGAGGAGGACCCATCTTTGGAAAAAAAAAGTACAAAAGATAGAGTAGGCTACTTCCGTCTCCAGTCTCCGCCACATCTTTCGCTGTTCTTCGTCAAAGTCCACATAATCTGCCTGACTCTGACACAATTGTGGAGACCAACTGTTATTTAGCCACCGCCACTTTGTCTCGTAATCCTAATTCCTATCCTAGTCTTGCACTGGAGTATTGTAGGTCAATACATAGTCCTTCCCCTTCCTGTACGCCATGCCCACTTGATTTCCTTGGTGTTTCCTGTGAAATCTCCGCGTATAAACAGCAATAATTCTCCACTCTTCTGTCTTCAGAAGATCATCCATGCAATCAGCCACTTCTCGTATATACATTACTAGTATACATTCTTTCGATCGCTAGCTAGTTCAGTCCACCAAGCTCCAAACTCATGGCGGAGATGGTGAGGTCTGCAGTTGCCGAGGAGATAGCGAAGCAGATTGTCTCCGGCATCCTGGACAAGCAGGGACGGAAACCGAATGAGGAGAAGGAGCACTTGGAGCGGCTGGAGATGGCGCAAATCAAGCTGGAGGCCGCGCTGGAGACCTCCGACAAGTGGGAGATCCGCGACGCGTCTCTGCTCCGCTGGCGCAAGAAGCTGAAGCGCACCGCTCAGGAGTGCGACGACACGCTGCGCCGGTGCAAGCAGCGCGGCGTGGCCGTGGACGACGAAGAGAAGCATCAGCGGGTGGCGGTGAGGCGCTCGTGCTCGTCCTTGCCGACGCGGCTCGCCCACGCCACCAAGTCCTTGGTCTCCTCCATCCTCAGCGGCCACAACAGGAACGGCGACGACGACGACGGGTACGGCTGGAGCGGCGGTGCCGTACGGAGATTCGAGTGGTTCGCGGACGGCGCCGCCGAGTTCCTGCTGTTCGTGGAGCTCGGCGGCACGCCATGGCCGCGGTACACGTTCTTCGACCCGCTCATCGCGCGCCTGCTCGCCGGCGAGGAGGCGAGGTACAGGCTCGTCCGCGGAAGCCAGTACTACCTGTTCTGCGTGCGTCCCGTCGTCCTGGAAGGCCGTGGCACGGAGGCGAAGATCATCTTCTTCTACGAAGACGACGACGCGCCGGAGAAGAACCTGTGCATCGGCTCCATGCTGCGGCTTTCGGAGAGCACGGACATTGTCGGGGTCACGATCAAGTGCCTGCAGCTGCTGGTGACGCCGCATTTCAAGTCCACGGCTGAAGCCGCGACCAGGGAGCTCGCTAACCTTCCGACGCAGGACTTCTGCTGGGTGCCCTACGGTGGTTCTACTCACAGGGAGCACTGGGACAGCATCCACCGAGACATGAGCCAGTGGTTCTGGCCGGACTCGCTCTGCTGCAACCAGCATGAGCCCTGTCGTCCCTGTGAGAGCAATGCAGCAGGCACAGTGAGGCCATCGTCACAAGTGTCTCTGGAATCAGTCATCGAGGTGTACTGGCAGTGCCAGATCCCACTGTCCGAGTACAACATGCTGCAGAGGAACGCAGCTGTTGAAGGTCCGACGACTTCTTCAGAAGACACGCCATACCTGAAGCTTGGTCTCCTGTTCACACCCCACGGCTCTTTAGGAGACTTGACGCCGAACGCCGAGTCGTCGGCGCTGGAGGTGATCGACGGGGAGGAACAGCATGGTACGCACGCCAACCTTAGCCTGCAGCAGCTGGACGAGACCATGCTGCCGAAGGCGCTGCAATGTCTCTACCAGAAGACAGAGGCGATGGCGTATCAGATGCTCTGGAAATCCAAGCATGGCGCAGCGTACCTTCAGGTGAGGAAGACGACACCACGCAAGAATTGGAAGGGAGATAACAAGAACAGAAGGTTGCTAATGCAGCGATATCATCAAGACCCAAAGCTGGAGAGATGGACACATGTTCTCACAAACTTTCTCAATTTGTGGGTTGCGCGCGTACCTGATGATAGGCTGCGCAGTTCAATGACCGAATGGTTGCAGAGGGCAAATGAGAAGCAATTGGCAGTTCTGCGTTGTTAAGTCCTGGGAAGCTCAGGTCTCAGGAAACAAGACAGCATGAATGGCTTCAGATGCTTTTCTTATTTTCATTTATGTTGTGTAATTGTTCTCTTTGCTTTCTAATCAGCATGTTGTAATTGTAACAAGTTCCAGCTCTCATTCACCATACTTGTATTTTTTGTGAAACTTTTTTTCCCTTTGGAGCTTTTATTTATGTGAAATCCATCAGCAATTTCTGAAGCGTCCTCATATAGGTCTCCGGAGACTTTCAAATTGCATTTTACCTAGTCCAAGGTATTTAGATAAATCCAAATGGGTCCAAATAAGCCCTAACTGTCTATTTGGTCTGCCACCACACCCGAGATGGCGTGACTCGTGAATGAAGACACCCAATTATCTTCATTCACTGCGATGGCCTCATGTGTGGTACTATGATGTCAAGATGGTGTGATTTGTGTTCATTCACAAATCACATCATCCTGACTTCTAATTGCCTCATGGATCATTTGCACATAACACTATGATGGCCAACACTCAAATATGGCTCTTAAAGAGAAGAACACAACGAATTCAACATCTACACGTGAATTTTTTTTCTTATATGTCTTTGTCTCAATTATTTTATATTGATATTATAGTTACTTTACTCATGAGTTATATTCACTTTGTTGGAGTTTCTAACACTCTTTTATGGCTTCAGATGCTTTTCTTATTTTCAACATCTTTCATGTCTAAAACTTTGAAAGCATATAATTTTGAAAGGTATACAGAAAAATATTTTGCTATAAAGCTATAAAAAGAACTTGCATTTTTCCAACCTAATATCCTCAACATCCCTAAACAACTTGGAACAAATACGAGATGACAAAAATTGAGTGTTATAGCCCTCTAAAACTTTCTGGAGAGATTTTACTTTTCCCTTTCATGTTAATTGAATGCTACAAAATGTAGTATGGTGTGGTGCAGTTTGGTCTTATCTTTTTCTTTGTTACAACAAGAATTTGTGTTTTTGCTAGATTTGGTTTTTTATTGCCTAGTAGTGATATAAAGGCTTTTTTATTGCATCAGTTATGAAATTGGGTCTGTTTTGCCTTTTTCTACTCAAATATGCACATACTCTATAGCTATAAGCACCTTCGAAATGC